ATATGTCATAGTTTGAGTGCAAAATTGCTTGATACATTTCATCTGTTTTTGTTCTTATGCCTCTTACATTTTAATATAACACATTTAACTCGAAAACAACAACATTAAAATAATTTTTGTGCACGCACTAATAATAAAACACATTGAACTCGAAAACAACAACATTAAAAAAAAATTATGCATGCACTAATAATAAACACGGGGAACAATAAATTAAATAATAAATTGAATGTTATAACATAATAAAAAAGAGCATGCAATACAAAACATAAGAGTAGATGGATTTACGTAACCGATTTTAACATATCTACATATACAATTGATGGCTATGCTATGCGTTGTTTCATTTTTTCTCATGAAGATCCTGCCGTTGTGAACCCAAACGTACCTAAATCCCAGTTCTTTAGCGCGAATTCTAGTAGCCGCGTGTATAGCTTTATTAGCAGCAGAGAGATGTTCCATAACATATATGGGTTGTGGCTTGTCCGCTCCTATACCAAGGTGGCTCGAGTTGAGTTTAGCATTTGCGTTGGCTTTGTTAAATTTCTTTACTGCTGCTAGATAACCATCGCGGAAACGAGGACTGCTAAATTTAACGATTATTGAACGCGGCCTTTTGCTCGCTTATCCAATTTTACTGTTCTGGAACAGTGAAGAATGTCTGAATCTTTGATACCATAGTTGGTTACTCTTCCTATTTGTGTTATTAAATTAATTAAGTTTTCAGAGCGATTCTCAGGTACGTTTTGCAGTTCGATATTACAGGATCTCGAATGTTGTTCCATTTATTTAATATATGTATATAACTTCTCCCTTTGTCCATGCACCGTTGCTATTGCAGAAGGATGACTTTCGATGTATGATTTTACATAGCTTAGTACTACAAAAAATAGTTCTGCTTGAAGATAATTCGATATACGAGAAGTATTTAGCAATATTAAAATGTTTTCCACAAAAGATTTTCAATTGAAATTAAATGCTGAAATTAAAAAAATCCTATACAGATTTTTCTTGCAAAAACTATATTTTGAATGCCAGCAAACTTCTTATGTATACTCGACTCACATTTTATTACATAACCTGCTAATTTAAATACGTGGAAATAGGTTGTTAGTTAATTTCATAATTGTTTTTCTCAAACAAACAGGAATACGACAACAGCACGTCATCATTACCCGCGTGGCCGACGTCCACAGTCCTACCGCACGTTGCCGACGAAAACGACTCGCTCCCCACCGCCTGCCTCTACAACAGAATTATATTCAGCAAGAATTTCTCCTACTACGTTCAGGTCAGAAAAATCGATGACGTTTTTTCCTATTATGAAACAATTGAAGCTAGTCTTAGTGTATCTCCGAATTATATAGGATGGCAACCGGAGCCAAAACTACCAAACATACTTATATGTATATTATAATCAGAATTACATATTAAAACTTATAAATTACACCTAAGACTACATGATTGCCTCGATGTTGGGATAGCAATACCATTTCATATCCTGTGTGGTATCAGGTATCTTCTGATTCACACGGCTTTATGTTTGTTCTGCGGAGTCAGCAGCGTCACTCGTTATACAATGATATTTTATCAATACAACGATGTCACCTCGAGATGTTCTTTTTTTTAAAATGTAGCGCGTTATAGCCGCTCTAAAACTTACATTATATAGTTGGAGCTACTTCAAACACAATATTTCCAATATATATTTTGTCTTCTGCTTTTTTCATGGAAGCCCCATCCTATCTTCAGGAGTGCCTCGGTCCAGAGCCCCCAGCTATATTTCTCTGTACGTCAGCCGGGTCCCGCCGGGCCGTGCTCTGGGATGGAGCGCCGCTCAGACAAAAGTTCGCGGCCCTCGCTTCACCGCAAGCGAAAGTGTTCAGAGTTGAGGTGAGTTACTCTTTGTAGAAACAAACTAACTGGTGAATGATTTTATCTTTCTGTTATTGGACACATTACAAAAATTTTCACAAGCACTGCAAAAGTAAGTATGAGTGTAGTTCAGGATATTTACCGCCTGTAATTTTATATTTATTTTGGTATTTTCTACACATTATTACAGAATGGCACAATAGAAATGCCTATCAAGTAGTCTTATTTCATCTCGTCAACATACTCAAAACTACATAATTACAGCTGGTTTGTGAAAAACTTAATTTTTGTAACCAGTTGAGTGCACGAAATTATAGGAAACGGTATATTTAAAAAAATCATGAAAGATAGCACTAATACAGTATAGGAGACATTGGCAGAATTAGCGTGGCTTCAGCACTGGAGTCTTGAGGAGCTTTTATAAATAGTATTGTATAGATATCTGATTCATCAGAATAATGATGACATTACTACTACAGGTGCAAGCACAAAGATCAGCTCGTGTGAGGTTACTTCTGCCTCCGGGTCTGCGTGATACTGACGACCTGCCGCTACCACTGGTATTGCATTTGTGAGTTTATTTCATACATACATATCTCAAAAAAGCTATATATTAATATAAGGTTTTTCTTCTATTTCTATTTAGAAAGATATCAAAATTCCAGCATTAATTGTATCAAGGAACTTTATTTTGCATTTTTTAGAACAATCTTATTGATTACCAACATTTTCTAAAGAAACAAATAGGTTAAATTATTTTAAACATCGTCTCATATAAATTCTTTTATTTATGTTTCATCCAGGTCTTCGGCCCCAGGGTCCCAGCTGGTGACAGAGCAGTGGGCGCCTCGTTGGGGCTGGTACCTCGCCGCCGCAAGGAACTTCATAGTCGCTGAAATAGACGCAAGAGGATCCGGCGGACAGGTGTAGTATATGATTGAAGATTAGATCTTATTAAAGACAGAGTTGTGGAAACATTATTCTTATATTGACTAATATATATTTCCTTTATGGTTTTTTCAATCCTTAAAAACGTTGTATTTCTATATATTTAAAGTTAGTTCAATATTGCCACTAGAGATTTAAAAAAGAAATACAAATGCATATATTATACTGTTTTTATGATTTTATTTTTCTTTGTAATATCTATTTAAATAACAGAAGAAATTCTTTAACAGGGAGAGGAGTTACGAACAGAGATATACCAAAAACTGCTATCAGTAGACGTTGAAGACCAAATAGCTGTTTTATCGTAAGTACACAAAACTTTCAACAAGAATCATGGAAACTATAATGTTAATGATGTTTCTTTACTAACTAATGGACTACTATGTTAGATCTTCTCACGTACGTTTTACTTTTTCGCTGAAAACTATACCTGACTTTACAGAATCCTTAATATATCATATTGTTGTAGAGAATAGAGGTCCGTACTACCTCCTTGTCTTAAACTGTAATATAAGCGATATGTATGTGAATATAAACAAAAAGTCATAAATGCTGTTTCCCTTGCCCCACCATTTCTTTTCCTTTAACATATGTAAGTAAAGTCCATAAACTTAAGCGTTTGGATTAACCACTTCCACTTAACATCTACTTAACCGTTTGGTAATAACCATTTGACATATGATAACTTGTAATAATCTACAGCAAACCAATACAATAATATGACAAAGACAGTTTTAATACTCGATACCCTTCAATTGTAACCTGATTCAAGGAACGTTGTAGATGTATGTTTGTTTGTGTCAGCTACCTCCGTGACAACCTGAAGATGGTGGATGGCAGTCGTACTGGTGCGTGGGGGAGCGGGTATGGAGCGGCCGCGGCGCTGGCCCTGGCTGCTGGGGACGCGGCCAACCTCACCAGGTGCCTGGCCCTGCTGGCGCCCCTTGCTGACTTACGACACCACAGTGAGTTACACGATCATTTAAAACTACAGAAAATATTGGCTCCTTGCACCAAAACAATACAAAAATGACAACAACTCATAGTATTTAGTGGATGGAGTAAACTGTACAGAAACTATTGCAATAGGACGTTATTGAGTCTCTGTACCAGAGTCTTGAAGTGTTTTTATATGTTTTTCTTGTAACGATTGTTCTATAAGCTCATACATACTTCAGAACATATGTGCCATTTTAATTCATGGTAAATAAATATTGAAATCCTCTAAACTAGAATAGTAAGTTGAAGCTGTTTTCCCCACAGACTCGTTCTGGTCGGAGCGCTACGCGGGTGTGGGTGGTGGAGCGTCCCTAGGAGTGTGGCGCCGCGCGTCCTCGGTCCCTCCTCGGCGCGTGTTGCTCGCTCACGCCACCGCGGACGTGCGAGCTCCTCCGCCTCACGCCCTCGCTCTTGCACGAGCTCTCATACAAGCCAGGGCCGTGTACTCTCATCAGGTTAGACTCAAGTCCAAAGACTAGAAAGATTTCAAAGACTAGAAAGATTTCAATTATATTAACTATAGTAAATTTGCCAAATTTTATGAACAGATTTCTGGGAAAGAAATCAGATAACGTATTATCGATCGTTATCGATATCACATTATTAGAATCCACCATTCGGTCGCTTGGATCATGTTTCAGTTTATGAAAGTATTATTTTAAGGTCTTGTCCATATTAAATACAACACGACACAAAAACATCTAAAATAAAATGAATTGTACATGCAACTTAAACTATGTTCCCCACAACATAACAAATGAATATCAGAACTCAATACTGACTTCAAATAGAGACAGAAAAGATAATAACCTTAACCAGCCCATAATGATTCATCTTCCAGGTGTATCCTGATGAGGGTCACTCCTTCGAGCGCTCGTTCCTGCACGTGTACTCCTCCATGGAGCAGTTCTTCGACGAGTGTTTCGGTCCCGTGGAGCTCGCGGACTGGGACAACCCCGGGGGACTGTTCCCATTCAGGGATTGAAGCGACACAGAAGAAGTTGGGCAGGCTGCTACAGGCTTAGCCATCATTGGAATTATCAGACGGTTGAAACTAGAAAAGGTCGCCGGAGGGGCTCTCTTGTTATTAATTTCCCTTAATATTTTAATCCCACTCTTAAATTTTCTCTATTTACTCGTTAAGATCATTCCTTAACTTATAATTCTTCAAAATTTCGATGTTTGTAGAATCTACGCTATAAAATTTTGTTACTTTGGAAAACATAGCAAGCTTATACAAAGTGCTATATCCAAAACTAAAACATCTGTAATATGTAGTAGGAATATTTTTTTAGATGACGATTAAAATGAGTCGTAGTCTTAAAAATAAATAAACAGTACAGTTCATTTTTTGAACCTTGAACAGTCGCCACAAACACCAGTGTCATTACGTCAAATAATGAATATTTCCAAAAGCTTCTTAATGTACCTAGTTATTTCTTCTTATCTCTAGTTTCTATTTGTCTCGTGAGTTTTTTAAATTCCTTAATAAGTAAGACAATGAAGCGAATTTAAATTATTTAATAAAACATAATAATGATATAAGAAATAATAATTTTATTATAGTAACATCGGTAACGAACTGCCAACCTCCGAAAGATTATTTTATTTTAAACTAAACCGGTAGAAAATATATCGAAATAAAAACTATAGAAGTAATCGAAATGGTGCGTATAAATAATTGTGGATTGATATTCTATTAAAGCCTAATGCATATTTATTTCTAGAATGATAATCGAATTGTTTTGTATTACCTTGAAGTATTATTAAAATAATAATTGTATTATGAAACAGTTCGTGAACTGCCTTTAATATACTTCAGAAATATTTTGTTTTATCTGCGAGTATCGTTAAGTGCAAGGAGGTGTCATATTATTAATGTTATTTATTAGGGTTCACGAACCGTTTTCGGAGTTTTGCTCCTGTGGAATTTTCTTATGATTATTGTAAGGAATATAAATTCTATATTTTAGTGTAAAATCCATCTTTACCTATATTTATATGTCGCTTTGAATGTCATCGTAAAATTAGCTTTAATGTTTATACAATGTTGTCCCGATGTTAAGTGTTACTAGAGCAAAATATTTATATCCGTACATAGACATTACTGAGTATTGCTAGTGAAAATAAATAAATGTGATTAATGTTTTTATTGAATTTTAAACTTTTGACATAGTGTCACATATTTTTATTTAATTTATAATAAATAAAGAAGTATTATATACACTCCTTCTTTTTGTGATATCATCTAGTCCAATGTATTTGTTTTTCAAATCCTTTCGTTCCATGTAGGAGGCTCGCTCGTCTCCGCGGCCTGTCTTCTGTCTTCATCCAGAACTAATCCACGCGGTCGCAACCTTACCACCGACTGAACAAGTACAGACTCCGCTTACACTCGCCCGACATATGTGTGAGTTATAAACTCACTTTGATTCTGATACAACTTTATTAGAAACAGACATAAACACAAACTTGAATTACCCAAGACCAGGACCAAATATGGAATTAAAACTATACAGTTTGAGGGAGCGAAACTATATAATGGCTTGCCTGACGAAGTTTTTGATGAAAAAACGTTTGCAATTTTTAGAAGGAAACTATTGGGTTATTGTAGGGAGCACTTGGATTAACCGCTCTTGAGTTGTATGGTTCGTTGCTACTGTACTGAATTGTTGTTTGAACTGAATTATGTAATACATCTCATTCAAGTGAACATTGTTCTTTATGAGAACAAATAAAGTTTTTTAACCACAAACAGCTTTTCATTTACATAATATAGAGTTGTAATTTTTTTTCTCTATTTTTATTATCGTTTCTTCAACTTCAGGCACTCATTTAGAATTATTGATGCATCGAAGAAATTTTGGTCCACTTAATATTTATATATTATTACGTCTTTTACACGCCCTACATCGGAATCGCATTCTGAATCAATGCTTTGTGCTAACATTTACAAATTCTAAATCAGAGATTCCAATCTTTTTCGAGCTTTATTTGATTTCCTTAACACACAAAGCCATAAAGACTTTGTGTAAATTGCCTTCGAAATACCGAAGAGAATTGCTTTATTTATTCTTTATAAGACTTTTCGTCCTATTTGTTGGTGTTTTATTGTAACCTATTATTTAAGGTATAGTTTTTAAAAGTAAATACATTTTCGTCAAAGACTTTTCCGTGTCCCATAATTTACCGATGGTCTAATGAACTTAGTTAGCCAACTTCGGTATAACAATTATGTTATCAAAGTGAAAGTTTCTTGTTCCTTGTTTTATATGTATTATGATCGCTCTGTAATAGATGAGTTTGCAACTTCAGGGAATCCAAGTTGGAAAAGCCTAACTATCTACGATCGTACCGATATTAATTAATGTTTCAATTGATTGGTAGACCGAAACCTTGTTTATGAAGCTAACAATATATTATATTTAGTAACAATTTAAAATAATTTCTTGTAAGAGAACAATGAAATAAAGTATTAACTACAGTAGCAGCTCACGTATGTAAGACAAATGTACATAGATAACTAATTATAATTTAAAAGGAAATCATATAATATTAACATTATCATCAGAGCATTTTAATACTACTCATAGATGTCCTCATTAAGTATGAAACGCTGCAATCGAATATTTCCAGGAGTTCCAGGAGTAATCTTTAATGGCGTACCAGACTTTCTATATGAGACCGAGATGTTGCGACTTGACCGAGCCCTGTGGTTCAGTCCCGATGGACAAACCCTCATGTACGTCACCTACAATGACACCCTGGTACAACAACACAAATATCCATGGTATGGCTTGGATCAACAGGAACCACCCGCGTACCCTGCCATAAGGACCCTGAGATATCCGAAGGTAATTAAGGTTTGGACCAAATCTGTCGAACAAAAATAACTACATATATAAAGGAAAGTTACGTCACGAACGAGTATACGTATTTTGCTGACAATTTGTGAGGAAATAGAGTAGAATCAGAAGATAGACATAGGATACTTTTCAACTCGTTCGACCAAAAAAAATAAATAAAATCCTAAATTGATTCATTTACTACCTATTAATCGAAACAGTTCGCCTTGTCATAAATTTCTAATTTTGAAACTAACGCAGATAAAGTCGCTGGCAAAAGCTAGTTTTAATATAAATATGATTTATTTTCAAATATGTACTCGAAGTGCTACAATTATTTTTTGTTCGCAGATGAATACTAATAACCCAGCAGTGACGGTTTACGTGGTCAGTCTGAAGACTCCAAAGTTTTTATTCCCACATGCTATACAGTTTAACTCACCCTTCGACTCTGGTAAGATAAACTTTTAATTAAATTAATTTCTAGTCTAGTCTAACTATAGACTAGAGTCTAGATGCCACATAACGTGTGCTATATTATTGTCATTCATTTCTTTGCAAATGTTATATATCCTTACTTTTGTTCAAAATTCCACCATATGTTATTGAAATTATGTTATAAATTTTAATAATACGTTTTAAAGTTTTTTACAATAATCAAACTTTTCGTGAATACCGTTTACAAAAAGTGGAACCAAGATTTCTGAAAGTTTTTATTAAAAGTTTCAGAAGAATATATTCAATTCAGAGTTTGAAGATTTTGCTGACGGAATTGTTTTGTTCTCTTAACACTTTGTCGGAATGAAAAACCTTTTCTCGTTTTTTACTACACACATCCATTTATAGATAGTTACATATAAGCTATGAATGTTGATTTTCATTTTGTATCATTGATATGTAAGTACTATTAAAGCATTAAGATTTAGATAAACAGTACATAATTTTACAGATTGGGCATAAAGGATTATTAGATTGATTAAATCGCTCAATTACCGGAATTGTTAGAACCAAAATTAAAGTAGCAAATAAGCAATTAAAAAATTAATTATAAATGAAGACATCTGGTTAATTGAACAAAACGTTTGAATAAATAAAATTCAAATATTCATAGAAACGCCGCCACCGTAACATTACATTAACTACACATACACTTAACTACTGTGATAAAGCATTTGTTTTATATTATATTTCTAATAACATAGAAAAATCCATATAGTATGTATTATATTCTATACATTACTTAAAACTATATTTAATTTCTTTAGGCTGGTATATTCGTTGGACCAATTGGGTGTCTGAGCGTCAGGTAGCTGCTCTGCTCCTCAACAGACCTCAGAATTTATCCATCATCACCACCTGCAACGCTGTTACATACAACTGCCAGGATGTGAGTATTGTATTAAAGATTTATAAACATATTATATAGATTTTTATAAATTATCAGGGCCCATGGCAGAAATATGACCTACCATACAAGAAATGAAATACTGAAAATCAATTCATATTTACTGGAACTATTGTGATAATCGAACAAAACAATAGTTAGCGAGCGATAAGTTTATTAAAAACAGCTCAATCTATTCACACGATGTTTTTTTGAGGAAACAAACAAAAAATATTTAGCGCTTACATAAACAATCATACAGTTGAAAGGGAACCTTCTTCTTTTAGACCTTAAAAATAGAAATACATGTCCAATTACATGTAATACAAAAATACATTTAATTTTCAGATCTATCGCGATGAGTCTGACGCTTCGCGATGGTCAGGTCTTGGGTCAGACCCGGAGGAGGAGTGCGGCTGGTGCGGGGGGCGGCGCTGGTGGGGGGAGGAGCGGCATCTTCAACTCCATACCTGTCACCGACCAGGGAGGAGTGTGGAGACACGCGATACATCTGACACAGGAGACGAGGACCACCATCACACAGGGGAACTTCGAAATAACACAGCTGATCGGATGGGATGAGAAACGAAGACTGCTGTATGTTTGTTCTCTAAATTAGTTTGTTCTTTCTTTTGTATTGGCAAAATAAACTCTTACTTTACTCTTATAACAAAAGTAGGGTAGTATATATATTAGATGGACTTAAACCAAGAAAGCAATCTAGACCAAAGAATGCATTGTATAAGCTAAGCATTGATACAAATTATAAATCCAATTAAAATATGCTGTATTGAAACAGACTTTACAAAAATATATGACTTCTGTACAGCACAAATCACTGAAACATTTAATAAACGACGACATACTTTTATCTACGAGAAATTCTTGGGTCCTTACATAAAATAAAACTGCTACTGATGGTTATCAGTGACGATACATATGTATGAGATAAACTTTTAACGCAAATTAAAATTTTTATATAATACATTGGGAAAAAATATTTGTTAGAAATTTATATCGGGCTATTAGTATCAGAAAAAGCAGTGAATTTTTATTTCATATTTTGGTGAAATTCATGAAAACGTTGCAATTTTTTTATATATATTCATAAGAAAATCACGAATATATTTCAAGCATTTAGTCCGGAGGCGTAACATTATGTAAAATTTATGTTTAATGTATTGTATTTTAACATATCAAACACCTATTGGAACGTTTTATATAAGCATAGTTAGACAGCGTCTATTTTAATTATAATTATCTGGAACATATTCTCTTTTTCAGCTACGTGATCGGCACCGCCCCTGACAAAGCCGGTGAGCGTCACCTGTACCGCGTGTCGGTGCCAGTGGACGGCTGGCCTCCTCCACCCGTCTGCCTCACCTGCCCTGGACGGATGATTGAAGCTACCGGCGAACCCAGCACGGAAGAACCGGTAACACAACAGATTTATATATATACTAGAAGACCCGGCGAACTTAGTATCGCCCTATAATCAAGAAATATCTGTTACGTTTTTTTATTTTTATTTTTGGAATTTACTTATTAAAGCCATAAATCTCCGTGGTTTGAAGTGCGACAGAATGATTGACATATTAGTTAGTTATAAAATCTTACGTCAAAAAAAACATTTGTATCAACAACTATTAATAAATTAAAAATTAATTAAAAAACATTGTCCAGCGGACAAAATTGTGAATCTAAACCATTCCCAGATCCCCTTGAAAACACACAAAAAATTTCATCAAAATCAGTCCAGTCGTTTGAGAGACGTTCAGTGACATACACACTCACAGAAGAATTATTTATATAAAGACTAGTAAACCCGGCGAACTCCGTTTCGCCATCAGAAGGCTTTTATATAATATTTCGTTTGGCGATTAAAAGATGAAGAATTTTTTTTTGTTTTATATTTGAAATGGAAAATTTTTATTTCATTTCACAACAGTAATGAATTCATTTCGATTACATAAATGAAGTGTTATTTAGTTTAACTTTTCTAAGTAAATGAAAGTCAATCCAAAGTAGATACCGAATCGAAGCGTTATACGTGTCCGCAAATTATTATCCGTTTCATTGAAGTGGTCCTTTGTAAACCACATTTTTTGTTTTTTGGTCTAACTTTAACACAAATAAAGCGGATGGTTTCCAAACTCGTGAACACGCAAAATATAACGCCGATGTGAAAAACAATGATTTTCTAAATTTATCCCGCAAATACTAAATGGTTTTAAGAGTTCAAATTACAAACTCAATACCGGTTTGTCACATTAACTGAGCAGAGAACAATGAGTAGATGTCAAACAATGTATCATGCACCGGCGCTAACAACTTAAAATATTGATATGTAGTACACGTTATGTATGATGGCGCTGTATGTGAAAAAAGAATTTCCCGCTTTTCTGTTGAAATTGGTTCGTTCTTTCTGAAGTTATAGCGTCAGGATGGAAAACCGGACTTATTTTTATATAGTAGACCTCTTACAAATATCTAATTTTCAGCACTACGTCATTACATATCTGTCATTATACGTCAATTGCATAGCTGTCAATTGTGTTTCGTTATTTCACGTATTTATAGTGGCTGACGTTTCATGTCAAATCCCACGGGAATGCTGTCGAACAGGATCAAAAGTATCCTATTGCAATTTCCTGGCTCTAAACTACCTCCCTGCCAATTTTCAGCTAAATCGGTTCAGCCGTTCTTGAGTTATAAGTGGAGTAACTAACACGACTTTCTTTTATATATATACATAGATATATATTAATTGTCCCTTTGTCCATGCACCACTACTATGAGAAACGGATAGCTTTAGATGTAAAAATTGTATTGCTCAGTAAGACAAAAATAAATTCTGCCTGAAGATAGGTCGATATACGAGAAATATACTAGTCAAAATAAAATAAGGGCCACCATGTTTTTTTAGTGGATTCAAAGAAATATGGGATTTAGGGATATGAAAATGATTAGATTAAATTATTTAATCAATTTTTAATGTAAAGAGCAGCAAATATTGTTTTATTACTCTAAAATTAACATCCCTCTCTTTTTTTTGGAAAAGTCGACTTTTAACCTTTAGGTTAAAAGTCGAGACACTTTTTTCATATTGTGCATTTTAATGCACAATATGAAAAAAGTGTCTAATTTTAAAAAAAACTGAACATTTGTTGAAATTTTTATTTTTTTCAGTAACGTGTGTGTCCTCCCCTTTTTCGAACACATTCTTCAAGCCTCGAAGGCATACTCTCCACCAGGTGTCGTATTGTCTCCAGAGGGATTTGTTCCCAGCTTGTCTTTAGCACGTTGATGAGCTGTCGTTCGTTAGTTACCGGTTGATTTGTGTCACGAACGTTTTTTTTTTAATAAATCCCACATGCGCTTAATAGGGTTAAGGTCCGGGCTATTGGAGGGCCACGGAAGCACCTGTACACCAGCTTCTTCTAGTGCTTCGGCAGTAGCTCTTACTGTATGAGCGCGGGCATTGTCATGCATTAATTGGAATCCTGCACCAATTGGACACCACGTGGAGTCTTATGACCTTCTCAATGTACCGTTGAGCCGTTACCGTGCCTTCGTTGAGAATTACGAACTCAATTCGACCTGATAGCGAGATTCCGCCCCACACCATTACGTTGGGAACCCCGAATCTGTAACTTTCGTGGATGCAGCATCCGAAAATCGCTCTCCTTCTCTTCTCCAAACGTTAGTTAGTTAGTTACGTGGAAACAGGTTGTTAGTTAATTTTATAATTGTTTTTCTAAAACAAACAGGAATACAACAACAGCACGTCATCATTACCCGCGTGGCCTACGTCCACAGTCCTACCCCACTTTGCCGACGAAAACGACTCGCTCCCCACCTCCTGCCTCTACAACAGAGTTATATTCAGCAAGAATTTCTCATACTGCGTTCAGGTTAGAAAAAAAGATGACGTTTTTTCCTATTATGAAACAATTGAAGCTAGTCTTAGTGTATCTCCGAATTATATAGGGTGGCAACCGGAGCCAAAACTACCAAACATACTTATATGTATATTATAATCAGAATTAAATATTAAACCTTATAAATTACACCTAAGACTACATGATTGCCCCAATGTTGGGATAGCAATACCATTTCATAGCTTGTGTGGTATCAAGTATCTTCTGATTCACACGGCTTTATGTTTGTTCTGCGGAGTCAGCAGCGTCACTCGTTATATGATATTTTATCCGTACAACGATGTCACCTCGAGATATTCTTTTTTTTTCAAAATGTAGCGCGTTATAGCCGCTCTAAAACTTACATTATATAGGTGGAGCTACTTGAAACACAATATTTCATCTATGTTTATTTTGTTTCTGCTTTACTCATGAGAGCCCTATTCTGTCTTCAGGAGTGCCTCGGTCCGGAGCCCCCAGCTATATTCCTCTGTACGTCAACCGGGTGCCGCCGGGCCGTGCTCTGGGATGGTGCGCCGCTCAGACAAAAGTTCGCGGCCCTCGCTTCACCGCAAGCGAAAGTGTTCAGAGTTGAGGTGAGTTACTCTTTGTAGAAACAACCTAACTGGTGATAACTTTTATCTTTCTGATAATGGACACATTACCAAAAATTTTCACAAGAACTGCAAAAATAAACTAGCATGTATTTCTAGATATTTATAGCTTATAATTGTCTATTTATATTGTTATTTGCTTCGCATTAAAACAGAATGGCGCCATACAAATGTCTATCATGTAGTCTTATTTCATTTCATCAACATACTCAAAACTAATTACAGCTGGCTTGTGGAAAACTTAATACGAAGTTATAGGAAACTGTATATTTAAAAAATTAATGAAAAAATGCCATATATAGAAATACCACAATTAGTGTGGCTTCAGCACACTATACTTGATAAGCTTTTGTAAATAGTATTGTAGCGATGTCTCGTTCATCAAAGTAAATCATGACATTACTACTACAGGTGCAAGCACAAAGATCAGCTCGTGTGAGGTTACTTCTGCCTCCGGGTCTGCGTGATACTGACGACCTGCCGCTACCACTAGTATTGCATTTGTGAGTTTATTTCATACATACATATATCAAAAAAGCTATATATTAATATAAGGTTTTTCTTCTATTTAGAAAGATATAAAAATTCCAGCATTAATTGTATCAAGGAACTTTATTTTGCATTTTTTAGAACAATCTTATTGATTACCAACATTTTCTAAAGAAACAAATAGGTTAAATTATTTTAAACATCGTCTCATATAAATTCTTTTATTTATGTTTCATCCAGGTCTTCGGCCCCAGGGTCCCAGCTGGTGACAGAGCAGTGGGCGCCTCGTTGGGGCTGGTACCTCGCCGCCGCAAGGAACTTCATAGTCGCTGAAATAGACGCAAGAGGATCCGGCGGACAGGTGTAGTATATGATTGAAGATTAGATCTTATTAAAGACAGAGTTGTGGAAACATTATTCTTATATTGACTAATATATATTTCCTTTATGGTTTTTTCAATCCTTAAAAACGTTGTATTTCTATATATTTAAAGTTAGTTCAATATTGCCACTAGAGATTTAAAAAAGAAATACAAATGCATATATTATACTGTTTTTATGATTTTATTTTTCTTTGTAATATCTATTTAAATAACAGAAGAAATTCTTTAACAGGGAGAGGAGTTACGAACAGAGATATACCAAAAACTGCTATCAGTAGACGTTGAAGACCAAATAGCTGTTTTATCGTAAGTACACAAAACTTTCAACAAGAATCATGGAAACTATAATGTTAATGATGTTTCTTTACTAACTAATGGACTACTATGTTAGATCTTCTTACGTACGTTTTACTTTTTCGCTGTAAACTACACCTAACTTTACAGAATCCTTAATATAATATATTTTTCTAGAGAATACAGGTCCGTATACCTGTTTGTCTTAAACTGTAATATAAGCGATATGTATGTGAAAATAAACAAAAAGTCATAAATGCTGTTTCCCTTGCCCTACCATTTCTTTTCCTTTAACATATGTAAGTAAAGTCCATAAACTTAAGCGTTTGGATTAACCACTTCCACTTAACATCTACTTAACCGTTTGGTAATAACCATTTGACATATGATAACTTGTAATAATCTACAGCAAACCAATACAATAATATGACAAAGACAGTTTTAATACTCGATACCCTTCAATTGTAACCTGATTCAAGGAACGTTGTAGATGTATGTTTGTTTGTGTCAGCTACCTCCGTGACAACCTGAAGATGGTGGATGGCAGTCGTACTGGTGCGTGGGGGAGCGGGTATGGAGCGGCCGCGGCGCTGGCCCTGGCTGCTGGGGACGCGGCCAACCTCACCAGGTGCCTGGCCCTGCTGGCGCCCCTTGCTGACTTACGACACCACAGTGAGTTACACGATCATTTAAAACTACAGAAAATATTGGCTCCTTGCACCAAAACAATACAAAAATGACAACAACTCAATAGTATTTAGTGGATGGAGTAAACTGTACAGAAACTATTGCAATAGGACATTATTGAGTCTCTGTACCAGAGACTTAAAGTGTTTTTATATGTTTTTCCTGTAACGATTGTTTTATAAGCTCATACATACTTCAGAACGCATGTGCCATTTTTGTTCATGATAAATATTGAAATCCTCTAAACTAGAATTGTAAGTTGAGTCTGTTTGCCCCACAGACTCGTTCTGGTCGGAGCGCTACGCGGGTGTGGGTGGTGGAGCGTCCCTAGGAGTGTGGCGCCGCGCGTCCTCGGTCCCTCCTCGGCGCGTGTTGCTCGCTCACGCCACCGCGGACGTGCGAGCTCCTCCGCCTCACGCCCTCGCTCTTGCACGAGCTCTCATACAAGCCAGGGCCGTGTACTCTCATCAGGTTAGACTCAAGTCCAAAGACTAGAAAGATTTCAAAGACTAGAAAGATTTCAATTATATTAACTATAGTAAATTTGAAAAATTTTATGAACAGATTTCTGGGAAAGAAATCAGATAACGTATTATCGATCGTTATCGATATCACATTATTAGAATCCACCATTCGGTCGCTTGGATCATGTTTCAGTTTATGAAAGTATTATTTTAGGGTCTTGTCCATATTAAATACAACACGACACAAAAACATCTAAAATAAAATGAATTGTACATGCAACTTAAACTATGTTCCCCACAACATAACAAATGAAAGTCAGAACTCAATACTGACTTCAAATAGAGACAGAACAGATAATAACCTTAACCAGCCCATAATGATTCATCTTCCAGGTGTATCCTGATGAGGGTCACTCCTTCGAGCGCTCGTTCCTGCACGTGTACTCCTCCATGGAGCAGTTCTTCGACGAGTGTTTCGGTCCCGTGGAGCTCGCGGACTGGGACAACCCCGGGGGACTGTTCCCATTCAGGGATTGAAGCGTCACAGAAGAAGTTGGGCAGGCTGCTACAGGCTTAGACATCATTGGAATTATCAGACGGTTGAAACTAGAAAAGGTCGCCGGAGGGGCTCTCTTATTATTATTTTCCCTTAATATTTTAATCAGACTCTTAAATTTTCTCTATTTACTCGTTAAGATCATTCCTTAACTTATAATTCTTCAAAATTTCGATGTTTGTAGAATCTACGCTATAAAATTTTGTTACTTTGGAAAACATAGAAAGCTTATACAAAGTGCTATATCCAAAACTAAAACGTCTGTAATAGTAGGAATATTTTTTTAGATGACGATTAAAATGAGTCGTAGTCTTAAAAATAAATAAACAGTACAGTTCATTTTTTGAACCTTGAACAGTCGCCACAAACACCAGTGTCATTACGTCAAATAATGAATATTTCCAAAAGCTTCTTAATGTAGTTATTTCTTCTTATCTCTAGTTTCTATTTGTCTCGTGAGTTTTTGAAATTCCTTAATAAATTGGACAATGAAGCGAATTTAAATTATTTAATAAAACATATTAATAATATAAGAAATAATAATTTTAATATTTTATTATAGTAACATCGATAACGAACTGCCAACCTCCGAAAGATTATTTGATTTTAAACTAAACCGGTAGAAAATTATTATAAGATTTTGCTCCAAATATACCGAAATAAAACTATAGAAGTAATCGAAATGGTGCGTAAAAATAATTGTGAATTGATATTCTATTAAAGCCTAATGTATATTTATTTGTCGGTCTTAGAATGATATTCGAATTGTTTTGCATTACCTTGATGTATGTATTATTAAAATAATAATTGTATTATGAAACAGTTCGTGAACTACCTTAAATATACTTTAAAAAGATTTTATTTCATCTGCGAGTATCGTTGAGTTTGCACTATTTAATTTATTAGGGTTCACGAACCGTTTTCGGAGTTTTGCTCCTGTGGAATTTTCTTATGATTATTGTAAGGAATATAAATTCTATATTTTAGTGTAAAATCCATATTTACCTATATGTCGCTTTGAATGTCATCGTAAAATTAGCTTTAATGTTTAGGCAATGTTGTCCCGATGTTAAGTGTTACTAGAGCAAAATATTTATATCCGTACATAGACCATTACTGAGTATTACTAGTGAAAATGAATAAATGTGATTAATGTTTTTATTGAATTTTAAACTTTTGACATAGTGTCACATATTTTTATTTAATTTATAATAAATAAAGAAGTATTGTATACACTCATTCTTTTTGTGATATCAAGTCCAATGTATTTGTTTATCAAGTCCAATGTATTTGTTTTTCAAATCCTTTCGTTCCATGTAGGAGGCTCGCCAGTCCCTCGCTCGTCTCCGCGGCCTGTCTTCTGATCATCCAGAACTAATCCACGCGGTCGCATCCTTACCACCGACTGAACAAGTACGAACTCCGCTTACACTCGCCCGACATATGTGTGAGTTATAAACTTAATATTTATATATTCATAACGACACTTAATAGACATTTATAATATGGATCGTGTATTTGTTCTGTTGATTGTTTTATTTTCAGTGAGTGATCTTCGACGTCGCCGTGCGTTCATCATCGGTACAATAACAATGATCGGTCAGGAGGTGTGCAGCGTGCTCGCTATACTACAGTAGGCAGAGAGAATGTTCGTTATAGCGAGAGACGAAACAAGAGTCACTGACTCACTACCACCCACTACTACTAGTACTTTAATGACACCGACCGCCATGGACCGTACAAAAACTATATATGATTCGAAACATTTAATATTGCCGACGACTAATGAAGCAATTGTACGGAATTTGACAGGGAATCCTTCTAATATTTCTGCTCCATCATTATCCCCAGTAGTGACTCAGGAGTTGTTATCACCGGCTTGTCACGCGGTGTTGCTCGGCTCGGTGCAGCTCCTCACGTCCGCACTGTCACTGTTTCTGGTGGAGAGATACGGCCGAAGGGTGAGGTCAATATATAACACTTACATCACTATATATATACCTTCTGTCAGTGTGTATACCGTGTCGTATGTATGTCACGTGTCAGCCCCTGCTGCTGTGGTGCTCGCTATTGACGGGCGCGTGTCTGTTGCTGTCGTCGCTGGTGACGGGGGCCCGCGTGTCTGTGGCGGGCCTGGTGGCGGCGGACCTCGCGGGCCTCGCCATCGCCGGGGCCGTCGCCGCGGACTCCGCGGGCCTTCAGCACGTCCCTTACGCTATATTATCTGAGATGTTCCACTATGAGGTACATGTCTGCTGTTATGTTATATACGTTGTCATACGTTCAGTATCTGAATGTAATGTGTTGTGTCAGTACAGCGGCTGCGCCGTGATGCTCGCCACAGCGGGTGCGTGTGCGGGGAACGCCGTGGAGGTGTTATTATTCCCGCTGGTCGTGTCTGTCGGCGGGCTGGTCTCCTCGCTCACACTCGCCTCGCTCCTCACCTTCCTCTACACCGTGTTCGTGTATCTGGCCGTGCCGGAGACTAAAGACAGGACGCCGGAACAGATATATGAGGTCATCTGTCCTCGACTAGTGAATAAAAATAAGAATTGTGGAACTAACAAGGAGACTGTGTGTACTAAAGTGTGATTGTATGAAAAATATTTAATAAGTTGTATGATTAAAGAATATTGTTAATAAATGTACGAGTTCATTATGTTTTTTTAATTTTCATGAATCAATTTAAAGTATGTAGTCATTATCAGTTTTTCTTTAACTTGAGGCATTTCCTATAAATAAAACGCCTGAATTTTTTTAAATATTGGAGTCAGAAGGAAGACATTTTTGTCAATATATAAATTTGTATTTGTTTTCCGTTTGCCCAAATTTTATATAGGGACAAGAAAAATATATAGGGCCAAGAAAATTAAGTGCTGGTTTGTCGTTTAAGAAATATAACAAAATGTATACATAATATGTTGTTTATCTATACATATAATAAAATTGTAGAAAAGTGCTGTCTGTACATTGAAAATAAAAATAAAAAAAATAGCAGGGGTTATTGTTATGTCGATGTTGAACCCAAAAATGTAATTAACTTTTTTTTTGTCTGTTTGTCGGTTTGTCTGTTCACGCTAATCTCAGAAACGGCTGATTCGAGTTGGATGCGGTTTTCACGCATATATTGTTGTATGCTTCAGTTATGCTTTAGTGTTTGTTTCATGTCAATCGGTTCATAAATAAAAAAGTTATGTCTAGTTAAAGAATCACGTCGAACACTATTCTATGCTTATACATACAAAGGCACCATTAATCCCGCAATGTTATATAAAAGCCTTCTGGTGGCGAAACGGAGTTCGCCGGGTTTAGTAGTATTGAATATTTTTGTGTTGTACGACGCGGGGTGTCGCTAGTGTCTGGTCGTCATGGTGACCAGTCAAACAACACGAGCCAGTCGATAGAAAAGAATATAACTTCGGTGCTAATTACCTGCAAAGTCTATTATAAATTGTTTGTTTAATTAAGCTGTGATAATCGGCAGGAGTGATGTAGGACGGAGGAAATAAGTCAAGTGTGATCGAGCAGGTGAGATTGGATTGGGTTATTGAGGTTTGTTGAAAAAGGTCTGTTAATGTAATGTGTTGCATCAATGATTATAGAAAACTAGATGGATATACCACGTGCTATATATCATGTATCGCTCAGACCATTTCTTGATTAAAACAAAACAAATATCAACAAAATTGTACAACTATGATAATGAGCCTTTTCAGTACGTATTAAATAATAATATAACTATGAGAAAAAATAATTTAAGGTATAGATCCAGGTAAATTAAGTAATTTTTTTTTCAAAAAATAAACGATTTAGCTGTATTCTATAGTATGTAGTTTTATATATTTTGTAAAATTCCAATTAAAGGAGATCGAAAGTATTGCATACAATTTTGGGCCCTCAATGTCAAGACATGACAATAGTATTAATTAAAAGGTTCAAAATTAATTAATTAAAAGTTCCTTCATTGAAAATTCTATAGAAATTGACAATCAGTTAGCTGCGTTATTGGAGGTTTAGTAAACGTGAGGTTATATCGCATTATCTTTAAGAGTTAGATGAATATACAAACTTAAAAGTATTTGAAAAATAATAATTTTATTTAGAAAAGAATATCTGATAAGTTATAACAAGGCAAGAAAGACTCAAAGACATACAGATATCGGTAACAAGTATAGAATTTTACGAGGAACAGGAGGAGTGAACTATGTGATAAAACTCATAAAATAAAACAAAAAATTTTAATGGAATATTTTATTCCTCTTCAATAATAATTAAAATATTGTCTAGGAACTGTGCAGGGTGTACAATGTTACTAGTTGGTATCCCACAATTCACACAGCGATCCATAGTTTTAGTATTATCCAATCCACAAGCCGGCGAAATAATACTTAACAATTCTAATTCAAACGTGCAGGCGATCGTCGGTCTCCAATGTGAAAGCAAGGGTCGTAAAACGTAGGCGGGTTTGGAGTCCTAAAACAAAGCAGTGGTCGTTGAAAACATAAAATGATCGGGAAAGCACTCGAAACGCACCGAAAAACACGAAACAGTCAACTCAGATAACAATGCATCTGCCATCTGGCTTGGTTATTGTCAAATGTCAATGTCATGTTGCCATAGACTATATACTGAATGATTTCGATCGATAATCGAAAAGATGTTTTAAAATAATATTTAATATTATTATATTAATACACGTTATTAAAAGTTATTTTTATTGAATTGTATACATATATGGTGTAGTTTAAATAAAGTTACTATAAGTTTAAAACTAGGAGTGAAATTTTTATTTTGTAGTTAAATAATCGAATAATCATTTTTTATTTAATTAATCGTTAATCGATTGCTTCATAAAAACAGTTATTTGCATATTTCTCCGGTTGTAGATTGAGAATTTTTGCAGATTTTTGGTATTTCATACAAAAAATATAAAGTAATTTTTTAAATCAATTTTGAACTCATTACATTTTGGGCCTACCAGTTTCCATCTCCTTTAACCCAACCCTGTTGGTATCGGTTACGTCGCCCACCAATAGTGTTCGTTATGAAGACTAACAAGTAATATACAGGGTGTATGAAAAACTGTGTCAACCCTCTTAACTACGTTATCAGTATCGAAAATGTAACACACTAAAACAACTTAAATTTACAAACTCTTCAATAAAAATAATAAAATTAAATATTAAATGATTATTTTATGTAGAGTAACAAAATGTTTGTAAGCCCTGGTATAACACGATGACACGCAATGACGTCATCACACCTGCTGCGCTACTAGTGACGAACTCGAAGTTACTTTCACATTATTGAAAATATCGATATTTAAAAAATCATAACAATAAATAAATATTTAATATTCACATTGTTTCGATACTTATTTTGATATATCAAACATTAATATTATTTTTGATTGTAAAACACCATTATTAACAGAAGTAGATTAACGATTTATCTTATAATACAACATAGTTAATTTATCTGAAGAAGTTCCAAATTATAATATTGATTAATAATATTTATTATTAATAAAAGTAATTTTAAATGAAATTATTTTAATGTGAAAAGTACAACTACTTATAGCAATATTGAAAATGTCGATATAATATTTATCGATAAACCTAATTTTTAAACTTGCAAATTTCTATTCGAAACACTAACAAAAGACGAATGTGCCACGCCGGCGGCCGGCGCCTGCGATCAAAGGCCGCGCATGCGTTTTCGCGACGATACGGTGTCTTGACCTTGTATTGCGTCATCATAACAGCTGCGCTACTAGTGACGAACTCGAAGTTACTTTCACATTATTGAAAATATCGATATTTAAAAAATCATAACAATAAATAAATATTTAATATTTATATTGTTTCGATACTTATTTTGATATATCACACATTAGTTTTATTTTTGATTGTAAAACAGTATTTCTAACAGAAATAGATTAACGATTTATCCTAATAATACAAAATAGTTAATTTACCTGAAGAAGTTCCAAATTATAATATTGATTAATAATATTTATTATTTATAAAAGTTACTTTAAATGACTAAAGAAAAGCATAACTACTTATAGCAATATTGAAAATGTCGATAGAATATTTATCGATAAACCTACCTAATAAACACTAACAAAAGACGAGTGTGCCACGCCGGCGGCCGGCGCCTGCGATCAAAGGCCGCGCATGCGTCTTCGCGACGATACGGGGCCTTGACCTTGTATTGCGTCAGATGTTTGAAACATTTTTTCCAATAATGTCGATTTTAAACTTATTTAGCCTATGCACTGTAACTGACCTCTGCTTGATTTTTTTTAAGTTATACTATTTTTTATAATAAGCTTATACTTATATATATACATGCCTTCAAGGGTTGACACAGTTTTTCATACACCCTGTATACAGATATCAGTGATGGGTCTGTTAGACAAGTTGTCGTCGTGGATGGGAGGCGGTGGGAAGGTGGTGACGGTACTAGTGTTAGGACTCGACAACAGTGGCAAGACTACCATGTTGAGGACGTTAACAACAACGGAACAAGAGGGACAGAGACAGGGGCCGGGAGCGAGCAGCGTACCTACTGTAGGACAACGACAGGAGAACTTCCAGAGTACGGGAAATATACTACATATACAACTAATATTATTATTGCGAAAGATTGTGAGTGTGTGTGTGTATGTTTGTTACTTCTTCACGCTCAAACGGCTGAACGGATTTTGATAAAATTTTGTATACAGGAAGCTGACGTCCAGGAATAACACATAGGCTGCTTTACATCCCGGAAATCCGCGGGGCGCAGCTAGTAGATCATATTATTTTGAAAGTGAAACTTTTCATATCAAGAAAGTAATGGCTAATAATGAAAACTATAAGTTTGTTAATGAAACTTATATTATTCGGATTACTACGTATTGTAATGCAAATAATATTAGTTTCATTTAAATAAATACTGACGAAAGTCTTAGATCTCATTACATAAAAACTACAGTTTCCTCATCTGACTACCTCACCCAGTGGCGTGCACAGAGATTTGGGGTAGGATAAGCAAAATGTTTGAAAAAAAAACAATTTTCATTATTTCCTCCTCTAAAATATTGATAATAATGATAAAAATAATAATGAAATCTTTCGCAAGTATTCACTTAAATGAAACTAATATTTTAGGATTACTACGCGTAATTTATTAAATTTTTTTAACGGACAGACGAGATGTCTGTCGTTATCACGATTTCTGCAAAGTAACTGAAACAGAAAAGTGAAGTAATCAGAACATATTAGTTTCATTTAAACATTGATGATATTCGCGCATAATGTTACAGCAGTCCGATCAGAACGAACATCTATATACTTTATGAATCTCTCAGCTACCTCTGAGACAATATTGAAAATATACTCGTAATTTATTTCGATTAAAACACACGTCACAAGCACAGAACGCACAGTTATAATAAAAAAATATTATTAGTAAATTAATTCACTGTTTACTAATTAAAGCTTATTCACTTGTTCTTAATGTGCATGGGTTCAAAAATCCAACTTCTGGTGTTATGCCTCTATTTACATTATTTACTTAGCACACTTAAAAAAATAAGTAAAATTAAAAGCAAAACATATATTCAATTATTTATTTTTTCTTTTTGTGAGTATTATAATATGTAATCGCTTGGACTTTAACATTATCCTCATTATTTAGACAATTTGTAAACTTTCCCGTAAGCACCCTGTTAACATTGATGCAGGAACTATGAATTATTAAATGTATAATATAATTTAATAAAACTCCTTTAAGGTTTTTATGAGATTCGCAAAAAAGAAACGAAAAATCACAATATAAATCAGCTTTTTGAATATTTTTTTCTTTTATATTTTTGGTTTGTGGTTCTTCACCTCATTGTGTTTGTATGACTGCACAAACATCATCAACCTCCGATGGATACTTACAGGATTTTTTAGTGTAATCTCTAAATAAAATATAGTTATCATTAGCAGGAGGTGTTGTGCTTAACAACTGCATTTTACATGTCTTACAATTTTTACATACATTTTTGTACTAAATACCCAGCAACATAGCGTTTAGCTTTTATGCTGATTATGTTGCTGGGTTTTAAATTGACATTTTCTTGCAACAAATTAAGTAAAGAATCCACATTTATTTTTTCATTTAATGTATCTCTAACTCTTAATTGCGAATTAATAAGGCAACTTAAAGGTTTTAAGATTTTGTTATTGTCATGTTCACAGTTTGCACCAATGGAATGTGGCGAAGTTAAATTATTTACAAGTAAAGTTTTGTATGCTCCAACAAATTGAGAGCTATGTAGTTGGAGATACATTACGGATCCCATTACTTCGAATATTACAAAAAAAAAATCTCTAAGGGATCCTGATTTAAGTTTCTTGTTAAAAGACTGCTTACGCCATGATATTTATTTAACTCCCTAGTGGCATGAATGTCATGTATCCAAATTTTAATGGATGGTGCCCGATAAAAAAATTTATACCATTTTATTTACTTCAAATCTCATTGAGTTTAATACAGTTAATGTTTCATCCCACAGTTTGAAATGTGGAGAATTCGTTTTCAATGCACTCCTATATAATTTAGCATCTTCCTGATAACCATTGAATGAGTCAAAGAGTTTATCTACAAGAAGCAGCAGGTCAGCTGTGGCGACACAATCTTTTGACAAAATATTATGATCTGGAAATAAAAAATATATTAAAATTATTTTTAGACATAGGCCTTATCATTAAATAGATAGATCGATAAACTTCTTTATTGCATACAAGTAAAGTTGAGAATTAATAAAAGCAAAAGACAAGAAAAACATAAGTATGCAAAGGAGGTCTTATCACTTATAGTGATCTCTTATAGACATCCTCAGGAGTAAAAAGCTGTTATATTAGTAATATGTTAAGTGCATAGAAAGTTTGTCACCATAACAATAAGTAAAACTTACTACTACTATGAAAAGAATATATACTAACTTGCTAAGAACCGCATAGCTGCTGATACTCGCTGGCTGATCACTTGGGCCGCATATTTCACTTTCACTTTCAGTAATTTTTCTTATATATATATGTGTTTCTGTTAATTTATTTAATAAATGTATAACACTTTCTCCAACATCAACCTGTAACAGCATATACAAATGACTTCATATTGCTATTTTAATTTCTCGATTTTGTTGAAATAATTTTATAATTTAAAGGTAAATATACCAATCATAAGTAATTTTAAGCTTAGTTATACGCCCATAACTTACCTTTAGGAAATAATTGAGAGGAATCAGGAGAACTCCTTTGTAGCTGAACTTGATTCATATTTAAATCCAAGTGGTGACAACAAGATGTGTCATTGTCTTCTTTTTGTGTATCAAAGCATTTTCCAGTTTCAACAGAATGTGATGAGTGTACAGTCTCAAATGTTGATGCTGCTAAATGAAATATTATTTTAAATACAAATAAATATATTAAAAGAAAAGTTAAATTAAAAATCTTAAAATTGAATGATAACATATTGTCTTGATTGTATCTTCCTTCCTCGTTTCTTTTAGAGTTTCTGATTGAATGTAAATAGACTTGTAATTTTTACTGAATTAAACAATGCCATTCTTATATTACATAAAAAACTATAAACAACTTTTTTTGGTTTGTAGTTATCCAGTGAAATTATAATCTCTGCATATTTAGAACACTTTGTTTTTGTTTTACTTATGTAAAGAAGTGACACAAGTAGTTATTTTGCAATACTGTTTGTAGGCACTTTCCTTCATTTAGATAAAAAAGGTAATAAAGATCGCACATTATATACCTATTTCATTATATTCAATTAAATCTATTTTTTTTGTTTTTAATTATGAGCACCAATTTCTAAAGTTAAATAATAATAATGTAAAATGTTATCTATAGTTACAAAATAAAATTGATTATTTATATGTTTTTATATTAGTAGTATGTATTGTGTGCCTATAACTACTTGGGAAGTTGCTTACTTTAGATACTTACTTGAGTATAGAGTTGATACAGCATTTTGAGTGAGTTGTTTACTTGAAGAACGGTAAAACTGTACAAAATGACAATCACATATTCTTATACTGTTATAAATGTAAGAATCTTCCTTTTGTTTCATGTCTTCATTGAAAATATTTTTCCATTGAACGAATTTCTCCAAATTTGGGTACCTATTCCGATTTAGGAAATTGATGAAAAGGATCTGAAATGTTTTTTATCAGAAGTCAATAAACTGTTTCGGTTGAAATTGATGTAACAAGAGTAGTAATTGAATGTATATATATATATATATATATATATATATATATATATATATATATATATATATATATATATGACAAATAATATTTTTTAGATTTTACTAAATAAGTATCGCACCTTTAGGCATTTTTCAAATTATCAATAATCCAAATTCGTGGTTTGCAATCAAAATCCAATTGAGAAAAGCCGGGGTCGATCGTCAAAAGCGTGGAAATAGGAGTCAATGATATTAAGCCGGGTCAAATGTTTGAAAAAGAACGTACAGCACAATAACAACAGTAAACAACGGCGAATGAGAAACTGAAATAATTTAAAATTTGTCCTAATGTCAAATCAATTTGAGAGCTACTTCCGCCATCTATGAAGTTACAGAGGAAAATAGTATCAAAGTTGTTGTGCCATGTTCGTTAGATGGTAGCATTTTTAAACGGTTTTTCTATACATTATTTTCTTACATGTTAATTATTATATGACAGTTTCATCCCCATGGGCGCTATAGCAGTTAGCAGCGGCCGATCGAAAATGTTTCGTTATTATATTGATAGATGGCACTTATTAACAAATCGTGAATAAAATGTATTTTAAATGTCTGTAAACATTTATATTTTACTAGAAATCCCTGGCGAACTTCGTATCGCCCTATAATCAAGAAATAACTATTACGTTTTTTTATTTATATTTTTGGAGTTTACCTGTAAGCCAGCCATAAATCTCCGTGTTTTGAAGTGCGACAGAATGATTGACATATTAGTTAGTTGTCAAATCTAATGTCAAAAAAAACCGTTTGTATGGGAAATAGAAAAGGGCTGTTTTTAGGGTTTTCCCGGAAATGAATCAATTTTTTTCAGCTTTTATACCTTCCCTGAACCTCCACGAACATTTCAAGACTAAGATAAGATACATCCGTTCAGCTGTTCTCGAGTTTTAGCGAGACTAAGGAACGGCAATCCATTTTTATATATATATATAAGAATAAGATAAGATAAGATATAAGATGACTAAAAGTATGTAAGTAAGAATTAAACAATGTAGGTTTAGTTGTTATATACAGTGCTTATTTGCATCTATGGTGAGCACGCCACTGGCCTCATCTTCATTTAGATATAATCAAATAGAAGTCGAAAGTAGACTGGAAGTAATATTTCCAGCCTCGAGGTACGTTAGGCCTCGGCCTCGAATTTTGCGGGCAGCGGAGCGGCGGCGGGAGCGGCAGGATCTTACGCGTATAATCAAATGGACCGACCCTCGAATACAGCGGTGCCCGCTGCCCGCTAGTTTGGAGAATAGTATGCGTTGCCCGCAAAATTCGAGGCCTCGGCCTTAAGGTGCATGTTAGTCGTGATGTCTATAGTCCGTGTTTCAGGTGGAGGTGTATCTTTCCGTGCGTGGGACGTGTCGGGCGCGGCTCGTCTCCGTTCTCTCTGGGAGCGTCACTACCGACACTGTGACGCGGTCATCTTCGTGGTGGACTCTGCGGATCATCTGCGACTCGGTGAGCTCCTATCAAACGCTTTGTTGATACGTCGCGTTGTATATGATTGTGAGTATGTGTGTTCGTGTCAGTGGTGGCGCGGTCAGAGCTGGAGCTCATGCTGTCTCACCCGGACATGTCTGGTCGTCGTCTGCCGCTGCTCGTGCTCGCCAACAAGAGTGACGCTCCTCACGCGCTCTCCGCACCACACGTCGCCTCAGGTATGTACCTGCCATTTAAAAGTTACAATTAACATGAGATATTATCTGAATGGAGAAATGTTGAGTTTTTTTTGGGTTATTCTTACAAAATATATTTTTAGTGTTACGTAAAAATTGTGAATTACACAACTAATTAGAAAAAAGGTATTCTGATCGTAAACATGATGTAAATTGTAATGTTGTTTTCAGCGTTGGGTCTTGAGCGTATAACTGACAAGCCGTGGCACGTGTGTGCGAGCAGCGCTCTCAGCGGGGAGGGTCTGGGTGACGGAGTGAGTTGGCTGGCGAGACAACTCAGAGAGAAACACTGACACATGACACACGGACGGATTATACATACGAGATATGTTATAGATGACGACTAACACTAACTCCAAACTGTATATATTTGTTGAGAAATACAATAATTATAGTGATAGTAAGAAAATGAGACTATGTAATACGTTTCCGATGTATTATACGATTTTTATTTTTGATAATAAACTATATACTCCCGACTTTTCGGCTACTTTACAGCAACCGCGAATAAGATTGCTGTAAAGTATAAGTAAAGTATGTACAGTTGCTGTAAAGTATTAGTATAAAGTACTCGAAACGTCGGGAGTATGTAGTTTTTAAACATAATAAAGTACGCAAAGTAATCAGAACATATTAGTTTCATTTAAACATTAATGATATTCGCGCATAATGTTACAGCAGTCCGATCAGAACGAACATATATGTATATACTTTATGAATCTCTCAACTACCTCTGAGCCACGAAAGTACTTTAAAACGATTACGATCTGTTCATCACAGTTTTTTAAAAGTTATTTAAATAGGAATATCCAATGGACATTTAAAAATTCTTATTATTATAAATTGTAATCAACAAACAAAGAAAACAACTTATTTGTGTGTACACACAATGCTAATTTAAATTAAAACTATACCTATTATCTTTGTTTTAGTTCAATCTCAACTGGTCACACACCTTGACTTTACACTTATTTTAATTTTATTATCAAACGACAATATTGAAAATCTACTTGTAACTAATTTCAATAAACATATCACAAGCACAGAGCTCACAGCTATAATTTTCCATAATTTGTTTATACATTAATTCACTGTTTACTGATTAAAACTTATTCGTTTGTTCATAGAAAGACTAATAACAATAATCAATAATAATAAAATGGCGAGAAAATTAATATATGAACAGTTCACCGACCAATCAGAGAGTCCCGTTTCGTTTGACAATTAACGGACTTTCTACGAGTTTTTAAACAATAAATAATATTCAGTGCTTCTAAAATATATATATCTATACACACATAAATGTTTGCATACATACAAGAGATTTGTTGATAGTCCTTGAGAATTTTTGTATGGAAAATAAGCAGAGATTGGTTGTGCATATCGCCGTTCTGGCTGCATAACGGCGCTAGCAATCAAACAACTTACAATTACAAACTCTTCAATAAAAATAATAAAATTAAATATTAAATGATTATTATATATAGATTGTAGAATAACAAAATGTTTGTAAACCCTGGTATTACACAATACAATTCACTGATACCACTTTTTTCAAATATCGGTACGTTTTAATATGTTAAAAATCAATTTAAAATAACACTTAGTTAACAAAAAAGTATACGGCTAAAGAATTCACTCTCTTTATCGTTTTCGTTTAAAATCCATCTGCAGAATGCTATTCTAGGCTCGAAGTCGGTAGGAATTAATAACTGTACTCGACGATAGTGGTACGGGTGCTGGCCATTTTCCTTTAAAACTTTCCATACACGCGTATGGTTGACACCGAGTTGATGTCCTGTCGAAAAATATCTAACATGTGTTCCTCTAGAATCTAGATCGTCATTATTAACCCTCGGCCTTCCCGCATTAGCACGTTGTTGTTCACGGCCATCGACATTTCTGAAATCGTACATGCGTATATGAAGACGATGAAATGCCTTAAGGGACGGTAATGGTATGTGTAGCGGAGCTACTTAGATTTAGAATAAAATATTTTAAACTTTTGTATGTATTGCAAATTTAAATTTATATTCATTTATATATTTATTTAGTAATTGTTTAAAATTTATTTCATATTTTTATTTCTTGCGACGGACAAACTTCTGATTAAATTGTACATAACGAGGATGCGCGCTGCGTCTAATGTATATAGTTCGCGGCGTCCGGGCCCGCGCACCTCTAGCCCCGCTGGCCCCCGCCAGCCGCCGCTGGCCAGCTGAGCGGGCACTGCGCCGGGCTCGTCACTCGTCAGTCCACATATACGTTAGCTGTGGAACGCTTGTCCATCATCGTTAAGACGACACTCGCGCGAGCACTCTCGCTTACGAAAAAATAATCTCCTTCCGTGTTAACAATTTATAAGTAGCTTAGTTAATTTGCTGAACCTTGTTTATTTCGCTAAATATGTTTCTTGGAGAAGCAAACAGTTCGTCATAAAGTCTACGCGATTCCGCATAATTACAATCACATTTCCCTAGATACATTAACATATTGAAATATTCCTGGTTGGAGTACATTTTATAAAACAACACAATTTTATAAAACCGTAACCAAAAAGTAATCCACTCGGAAGAAATTTCCACGAGGAACTAACTAATATTTTTTTTTTTATTAAAAGGGCGGCATGGGCTCGAATAAAAAAATATCGATATTTAAAAAATCATAACAATAAATAAATATGTATTTAATATTCATATTATTTTAATACTTATTTTGATATATCAAACACTAATATTATGTTTGATTGTATTACACCATTTTTAACAGAAGTAGACTAACGATTTATCCTAATAATACAACATAATTACTTTATCTGAAGAAATTCCAAATTATAATATTGATTAATAATATTTATTATTAATAAAAATGTTATTTTAAATGAAATTATTTTTATGTGAAAAGCTAAACTATTTATAGCAATATTGAAAATATTTATCAATATACCTAATTTTTAAACTTGCAAACTTCTATTCGAAAAACTAACAAAATAATAATAATAACGCCGGCGGCCCGGCGCCTGCTTTGAGTAGCCGCGCGTGCGCCCGCGCGACTCTACGGCGCCTTAACCGTTTATCCAGGGTCAAATGTTTGAAACATTTTTTCAAATAATGTCGATTTAAAACTTATTTAGCCTATGCACTGTAACTGACCGCTGCTTGATATTTTTTAAGTTAAACTATTTTTAATAATAAGCTTATACTTATATGTGTACATGCCTTCAAGGGTTGACACAGTTTTTAGAACACGGTGTACATACAATAAAAACATTTTAAGAGAAATAACATATCAGAGCTCACAAGTTCGCTATCATCATATTTATTTGTATCAAGGTTATAATATAGATATTGTTAGAACATTCACAAAAATAATGTCGCTTAGGAGAGTGAAAATATAAATTAGCTCTTCATGAAGTTATTTAAATTTATTCATATTACTATCAAGTTATGAACTGTACCATTATTATGTGGATATTATAAATATTTATTTAATAATTTATATAACGCGGGAACTGTCTTGATCTTAGTTTATATAAGAACGACTAGACTCTAGTATGTTAGAAAAATACTAACAACGTTTATATAATATATAAAATGTTTCAAACGAATAAAATACTTTCTGTTATTAACGCTTAGATTCCGATTGTTATTATTATCTTGGTCTATATGTATAAGAGAACACAATCTTATTATAACATTTATTTAGCGGTTTCCTGTTTCATTCAGTCTCATGTGATTTTTTTTTGATGTCGTTTACAAAGGCTTACGTGAGGCTGAAACATGTGCTTATATCATATTACAATCCTACTCAAAGTCGTTAACCTTTCCCAAGTCGACGACTATACCCTTTCATGAATATATTTTGATACACATCTAATTACAATAAGTACAACATTAACAATAAGTACATTTTTTTCGCTTCATGTAAGCAACACTATATGTGAAAAATTAACTGTATGCTCGGTCTGAGTCTGTGTAAGTCTTCTCACATAGTATTGACGCAGCTTACTGAATGAGAAACGGGAAACGATTAGTATGTAGTGTGGAGTGAGGAGTGACACTCTGCCTGGCGAGAACACGACCATCATACATACATACACCTTTTAAAAGTATGGTTTTTAAAGGCAGTTAACTTATTGTTATTAATTATTAGTTTTGTCGTAGAAAAGGAAGATTTTCCCAATATTTTCTTATAAGATTCTCGAAAATAATAAATTCGAATAAATTCTCACAAAGCTCTAGTATGACATTATTTTTTATCCAAATAACCCGAAGTTTTTTTGAGATGTATTAGTGTTAAATATAAATATATAACAGTTTTATACAAAGCTGATTTCAATATAATAGTATAATGTATATATCGGCGACATCAGCTTTAATAAAGGATGCGACGTGAAAATAATAAAGGCTGTCATCAATTCTTATTGAAACTTATTAGTATTCATGATTATTGTTAAAAATAAAACGAAAGACTGTTTAAAAGTAGAATAGAACTATGTTTAAATCTTGGTATAAATATGAGTTTTGCAATTTAACATCGAAAAATTATTAAATTAAAATAGCAGTTCCGAAATTAGTTTTATTTCCATTTAAATTAAGTACCTTTTTTATGAATTCAACATATGTAGTAACAAAGTAACCTACGCGAGGTGCGGTGCGTTTTGCGGCATTAGTCAAAGGGCTCGTCGGCGATCGGCACCGTGTGTCAGAAGCGGCTATGAACTTGACAACAAAACAAACCGTATTGCCCTAAAGATAGAGTTGGACATATTTTTTAGTTTAATTAATATTTCAAATTACGCGATTAGTACCTCTAGATTTTGAATGTGATGTCATGAAACTTAGGAGAGCTCCCACCCTCCCCTTTACGTGTGACGTACTTTATGGATGGCCCCTAAGTTTCATTTTACAATATCATGGAACGTACTGAAAGAAATGACATTAGTAACGTCAGCGAGGCTGGCGTCTCTGTTTTAAAACAACGAATCCCTACTAATATTATAAATGCGAGAGTAACTCAGTCTGTCTGTCTGTTACGCTTTCACGCCTAAACCACTGAACTGATTTAAATGAAATTTGGTACAGATATAGAGTTGACCTTGAGAAAGAACGTAGGATAGTTTTTATCCCAGACATTTGAAAGGTTCTCTTGGAAACGCGATATAACCGAACTCCACGCGGGCGAAGCTGCATGCGGAAAGCTAGTTAGTAATAAATCCGATATAAGTATATGAAACATTCGATTGACATACTATGGATGACGCAACACTTTGTAAGTCTTACACTTACTATTC